TCATGTTTAACTTGTTGTCCATGAGGACTCCAAGATCTTTTTCACACATACTGCTCTCGAGCCAGGCATCCCCCATTCTATATCTTTGCATTTCAGTTTTCCTGCCTAAGTGGAGTATCTTGCATTTGTCACTGTTGAACTTCATTTTGTTAATTTTGGCCCATCATCTCTCTAATATGTCAAAATCATTTTGAATCCTGCTCCTGTCCTCTGGAGTCTTGGCTATCCCTCCCAATTTGGTGTCATCTGCAAACTTGATGATCCTGCCTTCTAGCCCTTCATCTAAGTCATGAATGAAGATCCTGACCAGGACCGGGCCCAGGACGGAACCCTGCTGAGGGCACTCCACTTATCACTTATTTCCAGGATGAAGAGGAAGCCTTGGGGAGAATCACCCTCTGGGTTCGTCCATTTAACCAATTACTGATCCACCTCACCATAGTTTTGCCTAGCCCACATTGGACTAGTTTGTTTGCCAGAAGGTCATGGGGGACCATGTCAAAGAAGGCCTTCCTGAAATCCAGGTATGCTACATCCACGGCATTCCCCGCAATTAAGAAATGAACTTTATAACCCAGGAACAAAATTGGCATTACATAGAGTTTTGAAAGTCCAAAATAATCCACCTACATATGGGCATGCATGAACTGAAATCTGGAAATAGCTGATATTTCCAAATGTCAAGATGGGTTTTGCAAGTAACGTTTTCTCCCTAATGGGCTGCCTTTTCTCTGCAATTTCCCCCTGTCTTTGGGTGCATCTACACCAATGTTTCTCAACCTGGGGGTTGGGAGCCCTTTGGGGGTCACGAGGGGGTGTCAGGGGGGGTCACTAAAGACCATCAGAAAACACAGTATTTTCTGTTGGTCATGGGGGTTCTGTGTGGAAAGTTTGGCCCAATTCTATTATTGGTAGGGTTCAGAATGCTCTTTGATTGTAGGTGAACTATACATCCCAGCAACTACAACTGTTTGAGGAAAACAGATCCAAATGTTAAGATCTGTTTTCCCCAAACTCCACCAGTTTGGGCATATTGAGTATCTGTGCCAGGTTTAGTCCAAATCCTTCATTGTTTGAGTCCACAGCATTCTCTGGATATAGGTGAACTACAACTCCAAAACTCAAGGTCAGTGCCCACCAAATCCTTCCAGTATTTTCTGTTGGTCATGGGAGTCCTGTGTGCCAGGTTTGGTTCAATTCTATCGTTGGTGGAGTTAAGAATGCTCTTTGTTGGTAGGTGAACTATAAATCCCAGCAACTACAACTCCCAAATTACAAAATCAACCCACCAATGCCATCAGTATTCAAATTTGGGCATATTGGGTATTTGTGCCAAATTTGGTCCAGTGAATGAAAATACATCCTGCTTATCAGATATTTACATTACGATTCATAACAGGAGCAAAATGACAGTTCTGAAGTAGCAACGAAAATAATGTTATGGTTAGGGGTCACCACAACATGGGGAACTGTATTAAGGGGTCGCGGCATTAGGAAGGTTGACAAACACTGATCTACACTGTAGAATTAATGCAGTTTGATACCACTTTAGCAGCCCAAGATCAGTGCTTTGGGATCCTGATATTTATAGCTTGGTGAGGCTCCAGCTTTCATGAGCAGAGAAGGCTAAGCACCTTGTAAAACTGCAACTCCCAGGATTCTACAGCATTGAGCCTTGGTAATCAAAGTGGTATCAAACTTCCTTAATTTGACAGTGTAGATGCACCTTTGGAAAGGTTTGGTCTTTCAAATGTAGTGATGCACCCCTTTGCAAATCCACACGCATTACAGGCTCACAAGTCATTCTCCTCCCTTCTTGAGCCTGACTTCCATCAAGACCATTCCCAAGTGGTGCACAAGAAACAATACATAAACAAGCAAATTAGTATTGATATTTTTTTTTGGCCATTTTCCTCTTGGCTCCACTAACCCTGTTCCCATGTGGAATGTGCTGGGCAAAACAAAGCAGTTAATACACGGAGTTGCAGATTTATCATTATTAGAACTGTAGTAGCAGCAGTAGCACAGAGTGGGTCAAAAGTCATGTTTCCATAGTATTTAATAACTTCACAACCTGGGGATCACAACCAGACACAGTGACGACATCTACCCTTGTGCTTTGCTACTCTGCTGCTGAATATGCATGCTCAGTGTGGAACACATCTCACCACGCTGAAACAGTGGATGTGGCTCTTAATGAGACATGCCGCATTATCATGTGGTGTCTGCGCCCTACACCACTGGAGAAATTACACTTCTTAGCTGGTATCGCACCACCTGACATCTGCCGGGAAGGAGCAGCCGCTAGTGAAAGGACCAAGGCAGAGACATCTCCAGCTCATCCCTTGTTTGGATATCAGCCAGCATGCCAAATCAAGAAATAGTTTTCTAAGATTTACAGAGTCACTCCCTGGGACATCTCAGCAAGCAAGAGTCCAAAAGTGGCAGGGAAAAACTCAGAACCTTAAACCATGGCTGATACCGAATGAGACTTGCTTCTGAGCATACAAAATCTGGGCAACTTGGAAGGCACTGAACAGACTGCGCTCTGGCACCACGAGATGCAGAGCAAAACCTTAAGAAATGGGGCTACAAATGTCCACGGCATGTGAGTGTGGATAAGGGTAAACCACAGGCCACCTATTACAATGCAGTCTGAACCCCGCCACATGCACAACGGAGAACCTTCTCACAGCAACACCAGAGGCACTCCAAGTGGCCAGCTACTGATAGAATCATAGAATCATAGAGTTGGAAGAGACCTCCTGGGCCATCCAGTCCAACCCCATTCTACCAAGAAGCAGGAAAATTGCATTCAAATCACCCCTGACAGATGGCCACCCAGCCTCTGTTTAAAAGCTTCCAAAGAAGGAACCTCCACCACACTCCGGGGCAGAGAGTTCCACTGTTGAATGGTTCTCACAGTCAGGAAGTTCTTCCTCGTGTTCAGATGGAATCTCCTCTCTTGTAGTTTGAAGCCATTGTTCCGTGTCCTAGTCTCCAGGGAAGCAGAAAATGAGCTTGCTCCCTCCTCCCTGTGGCTTCCTCTCACTTACTTATACATGGCTATCGTGTCTCTTCTCAGCCTTCTCTTCTTCAGGCTGAACATGCCCAGCTCCTTAAGCCGCTCCTCATAGGGCTTGTTCTCCAGACCCTTGATCACCTTAGTCCCCCTCCTCTGGACACATTCCAGCTTGTCAACATCTCCCTTCAATTGCGGTGCCCAGAATTGGACACAATATTCCAGGTGTGGTCTAACCAAGGCAGAAGAGAGTAGCAGAATAGATCAAAGGACATTTAATAGAATGCCAAGCTTTCAAACTTTGTGTTTTGTTTTGTGCATTAATTTCTGCTGTTAGCGGATCTGAGTCCCTTTATGGAGGTAGAGAAGATCGGGATATAAAAGTTTTAAATAAATAAATAAATAAACGTGGTTTTTTTTAATACAATACAAATGTACCCTTGGCTCGCTCCTGATATCTATATAAATAAAAATTTGTGATACCATCAGAACTCAAAAACCACTGGGGGAATTGACACCAAATTTGGACGCAAGACACCTAACAACCCAATGTATGTCCTCCACTCAAAAAAAAATTGATTTTGTCATTTAGGAGTTGTAGTTGCTGGGATTTATAGTTTACCTACAATCAAAGAGCATTCTGAACTCCACCAATGATGGAATTGGGCCAAACTTAGCACACAGGGCTCCCATGACCAACAGAAAAAACTGGAAGGGTTTGGTGGACATTGACCTTGAGTTTGGGAATTGTAGTTCACCCACATCCAGAGAGCACTGTGGACTCAAACAATGATGGATCTGGACCAAACTTGGCATGAATATTCCATATGCCCAAATATGAACACAGATGGGGTTTAAGGGAAATAGACCTTGACATTTGGGAGTCGTAGTTGCTGGGATTTATAGTTCACCTACAATCAAAGAACATTCTGAACTCCACCAATGATGGAATTGAACCAAACATGGCATACAGGACTTCCATGACCAACAGAACACACTGGAAGGGTTTGGTGAGCATTGACCTTGAGTTTGGGAGTTGTAGTTCACCTACATCCAGAGAGCACTGTGGACTCAAACAATGATGGGTCTGGACCAAACTTGACACAAAAATTCCATATGCCCAGATATGAACACAGATGGGGTTTGGAAGAAATAGACCTTGACATTTGGGATTTGTAGTTACTGGGATTTATAGTTCACTACAATTAAAGAGCATTCTGAAACCCACAAATGACAGAAATGGGGCAAACTTCCCACACAGAACCCCCATGACCAACAGAAAATACTTAAGGCCATCCAGTCCAACTCTCTTCACCAGGGCAAGAAAATGTAATCAGAGCCCTCCTGACAAAGAGCCATCCAGTCATAAATATAGATAGATAGATATGATTCTCTCTCACAGAGAGATATAGTACCATAGATTTGAAAGAGACCCTTAAAGAAGGACAATGATATCTTGCATGTTCCAGGGTGGGCAAACCAGACGCTCTCCACATCCACACTGACAAAGAAACAACAAGATATACAGTTTACTCACAAGCAGAAAGGAATTACATATATTAGAAACCAACACTTTCTCACTACTTTATTTTCCAGATCACCAGACTGGGCCACAGCAACCCGTGGCAGGGGACAGCTAGTGATAAATATATATTTTAATTTACAATACCATGGTATCATATGCAGGATGTGTTGCAAATGCATTTACATTATGTTGCAACAACCAAATCTCAAGAAACAAGAGCCAAAGCATTTCCAAAAAAAGTTATCAAACACCAGTCCCCTTGGTGACTTTTGGCCCACCGGTTGGCAAAGGACAAAGTCTGACAGCAACCAAATTGGGTTCAGAATCAAACCGGTTGCTTCAAAGAGAAAGACTTTTGGAAACCTTTTTCTATTCTGGAGGAAAGCCGAGGGAGACAATGCCCTTTGCCAACCTTGGAGCTGGAGAGAAATCGTGCCCTTTCCAAGGACTCACCTCATGTTTGCTTCTAGTTTTGTTGTCGGCGGGTCCCTTTTTTTGGAGAGAAGGTGGTTGGTAGAATTCCTTTGGTGGAAAATGTTCAGCTGCCTGGCTTATCTTTGTTCAGAGAAGTGATGAATGTGTGTTTGAGAGAGAGAGAGAGAGAGAAAAAAGGATTGGGAAAGAGGAAGAGGAGAGGAAGAGAAAACGTGTGTGCCTGCCTGTGTGTGCCGGGGGTTTTCTGACATTCTTGTCACGCCTTCTTCTCCCTGCAATCATCGCTCACCCTTTATCCACCCCAGAAGCACATCTACCCAGGCTTCATCTCCCTTTCTTCCCCTTCTTTCTTCCACTCATCCTGACTCTAAAGGAGGATGTCTCAGTCCCTGCAGCATGAAACACACACACACAAGAAGAAGAGGGGAAAAATAAAGGAGGAAGAATCAGAAGTTAAGGATCTGTCTCCCCAAAGTGGCACAGTTGTGCATTGTCAGATTTCTCCCCTTTTTTTTAAAAAAAGAAAGAAAATCATTCCCAGTCCTTACTGCTGTTTGGCTAGATGGCTTCCAATAAATCACATTTTCCTTCTCAGTTAAAGGCATGAAGAACTCCAACAAAAGGCAGGAATTCAGCAGAAATCAGTCCACAACAAACATCCCCTACTCTCATTCTTTTCTGTGCATGAATGTAAAGATGGATGCAGGTTGCAATTCACAACTTGTGAACTGTAATTGTAAAGAGTAGCAGACATTCACTTGGTTCATAAGCATCCAGAAAGGAAGTCAGTGGGTGCATGCATCTCAGGCCCCATCTACACTGCCATATAGAATCATAGAATCATAGAATCAAAGAGTTGGAAGAGACCTCGTGGGCCATCCAGTCCAACCCCATTCTGCCAAGAAGCAGGAATATTGCATTCAAAGCACCCCTGACAGATGGCCACCCAGCCTCTGTTTAAAAGCTTCCAAAGAAGGAGCCTCCACCACACTCCGGGGCAGAGAGTTCCACTGCTGAACGGCTCTCACAGTCAGGAAGTTCTTCCTCATGTTCAGATGGAATCTCCTCTCTTGTAGTTTGATGCCATTGTTCCATTGCGTCCTAGTCTCCAGGGAAGCAGAAAACAAGCTTGCTCCCTCCTCCCTGTGGCTTCCTCTCACATATTTATACATGGCTATAATATCTCCTCTCAGCCTTCTCTATTACAACCTAAACATGCCCCTTAAGCCGCTCCTCATAGGGCTTGTTCTCCAGACCCTTGATCATTTTAGTCGCCCTCCTCTGGACACATTCCAGCTTGTCAATATCTCTCTTGAATTGTGGTGCCCAGAATTGAACACAATATTCCAGGTGTGGTCTAACCAAAGCGGAATAGAGGGGTAGCATGACTTCCTTACATCTAGACACTATGCTCCTATTGGTGCAGGTCAGAATCCCATTGGCTTTTTTTGCTGTCTCATGTTTAACTTGTTGTCCACGAGGATTCCAAGATCTTTTTCACACGTACTGCTCTCGAGCCAGGCATTGTCCCCCATTCTGTATCTTTGCATTTCGTTTTTCCTGCAAAGTGGAGTATCTTGCATTTGTCCCTGTTGAACTTCATTTTGTTAGTTTTGGCCCATCTCTCTAATCTGTCAAGATCGTTTTGAATCCTGCTCCTGTCCTCTGGAGTATTGGCTATCCCTCCCAATTTGATGTCGTCTGCAAACTTGATGATCCTGCCTTCTAACCCTTCATCTAAGTCGTAGGGAACCTTTGGCCCTCCAGCTGTGGTGGACTTCAACTCCCACAATTCCTTGCGGCTCGGCATTGGGCCAAGGTAAGCCTTTGGGGCGAATGCCGAGCCTCAAGGAATTGTGGGAGTTGAAGTCCACCACAGCTGGAGGGCCAAAGGTTCCCTACCCCTGGTCTAAGTCATTAATAAAGATGTTGAACAGGACCGGGCCCAGGACGGAACCCTGCGGCACTCCACTTGTCACTTCTTTCCAAGATGAAGAGGAAGCATTGGTGGGCACCCTCTGGGTTCGTCCATTTAACCAATTACAGATCCACCTCACCGTAGTTTTGCCTAGCCCACATTGGACTAGTTTCCTTGCCAGAAGGTCATGGGGGACCTTGTCAAAGAAGGCCTTACTGAAATCCAGGTACACCACATCCATGGCATTCCCTGCATCTACCCAGCTAGATGGCTACCAAAAAATCACATTTTCCTTCTCAGTTAAAGGCATGAAGAACTCCAGCAAAAGGCAGGAATTCAGCAGAAATCAGTCCAGGTCACAACAAACATCCCCTACTCTCATTGTGTTCTGTGCATGAATGTAAAGATGGATGGAGGTTGCCATTCACAACTTGTGAACTGTAATTGTAAAGAGTGGCAGACATGCACTTGGTTCATAAGCATCCAGAAAGGAAGTCAGTGGGTGCATGCATCTCAGGCCCCATCTACACTGTCATATGAAATTGACATTATCTGCTTTGATCTGGATTATATGGCAGTGGAATGTGTCCAGAGAGGGAGACTAAAATGAAACAACTCCTCCCAAGATTCCATAACATTGAGTTACTTTTTAGAAAATATTTTTGGAAGATTATATTTATCAATCCGTGGATAGTTGAATCCATAGGTACACAACCCATAGGTGCACATAGGTGTAACATTAGAAAATGTTGACCATTTCCACTACCTTGGCAGCCACCTCTCCACCAAAGTCAACATCGACACCGAAATACAACACTGCCTGAGCTCTGCGAGTGCAGCATTTTTCCGAATGAAGCAGAGAGTGTTTGAGGACCGGGACATCTGAAGGGAGACCAAGGTGCTTGTTTATAAAGATATTGTCCTCCCAACCCTGCTATACGCCTGCGAAACGTGGACTGTCTACAGGCGTCACATGCAACTCCTGGAACGATTCCATCAGCACTGCTTCCAGAAAATCCTGCAAATCTCTTCGGAAGACAGGCAGACAAAGGTCAGCATGCTGGAAGAAGCAAAGACCACCAGTACTGAAGCAATTGTCCTCTGCCATCAACTCTGGACCGGCCACGTTGTTCGGATGCCTGACCACCATCTCCCAAAGCAGTTGCTCTACTCTGAACTCAAGAATGGAAAACGGAATGTTGGTGGGCAGGAAAAGAGATTGAAAGATGGGCTCAAAGCCAACCTTTAAAACTCTGGCATAGACACTGAGAACTGGGAAGTCCTGGCCCTTGAACACTCCAGCTGGAGGTCAGCTGTGATCAGCAGTGCTGCAGAATTTAAAGAGGCACGAATGGACGGCGAAAGAGATAAATGTGCCAAGAGGAAGCGCATCAAGCCAACCGAGACCGCCTTCCACCTTGAAACCAATGCTCTCACTGCGGGAGAAGATACAGATCAAGAATAGGGCTCCACAGTCACCTACGGACCCACCAGAACACTGATCCTGGAAGACTTGGCTACTTGGTTACTTGGCTAACGAGGGATCGCCAAACTGACTGAACTGAACTGAATCTGTGGATATGAAGGGATGCTCAACTTTGGGGCTCATTTGCCTCCAAAAGAAACCCATTTTGGCTCATTCTGTCCCTGGACTTAGCTTCTAACGTAACTTGAATGGGCGACACACAGCACTGTTGTGTCTCTGACAAAAACCTCAGGGATTTGGCGATATTCCAACACAGATTGGACCATTCATTGGAGCGCGATGCTGCAAGCATCCATTTCACAGCAAACAACCACTTGCTGCACAAAATAAGCATATTGCCTCCTCAACGTGCTGCCAAACTAGCTATTCTAATCTGCTTCTTTATTCCCTAGGAGAACAAGTCAAAGCCTGTTTAGGAAGAAGGCAGTCCTGCATGGGATGGGGATGATGGTGGGTGCAGTCCAACACCTGTGTAGGGTCCCAAATTGGAGGACGCTTAGGATCGTAGAGCTGTAAACATAATCTTAGAACTGGAAGAGATCTTAAAAGCAGCCTAATCCAACCCGCCCATAATGAAGGAATCCTTTTCATTTTTTCTGGATATTTATTTATTTCCTGCATTTGTCACCCACCCTTCTCACCCCCGAGGGGGGACTCAGGGCAGCCTCACAGCAAGCACCATCCAGTGCTGTCACAATTATAAACATTCATAGAATCACAGAGTTGGAATAGACCTCATGAGTCCAGTCCAACCCCATTCTTCCAAGAAGCAGGAAAATCACATTCAAAGCACCCCTGACAGATGGCCATCCAGCCTCTGTTTATAAGCTTCCAAAGAAGGAGGCTCCACCACACTCCGGGGCAGAGAGTTCCACTGCTGAACGGCTCTCCTTAGAGTCAGGAAGTTCTTCCTCATGTTCAGGTGGAATCTCCTTTTTTGTAGTTTGAAGCCATTGCTCCATTGCGTCCTAGTCTCCAGGGAAGCAGGAAACAAGCTTGCTCCCTCCTCCCTGTGACTTCCTCTCACATATTTATATATGGCTATCATGTCTCCTCTCAGCCTTCTCTTCTTCAGGCTAAACATGTCCAGCTCCTTAAGCCGCTCCTCATAGGGCTTGTTTTCCAGACCCTTGATCATTTCAGTCACCCTCCTCTGGACACATTCCAGCTTGTCAATATCTCCCTTCAATTGTGGTGCCCAGAATTGGACACAGTATTCCAAGTGTGGTCTAACCGAGGCATAACAGAATAGAATAGAGGGGTAGCATGACTTCCCTGACTTCAACCATACAATTAAAAAAATTAAACAATTAATTAAAACAGTTAGTTAAGAACAGTTAATTAAGAACAGTCAATAAAACACCCCAATTCAAATCCAGATCCGGGTCAATTCATTATCGCAAGCTGCTGAAATCTTCTTCTCACATTGCTGCTTTTCAATGGTCGAACGCTTGGTCCCATAGCCAAGTCTTGAGTTTCCTTCTAAAAGGCAGGAGGGAGGTGGCCAGTCTGATGTCCCTGGGGAGAGAGTTCCAAAGATGGGGGGCCACTGCTGAGAAGGCCTTGTCTCTTGTCCCCACCAATCACGTTTGTGATGGCGGTGGGATCGAGAGCAGGGCCTCTTCAGACCGTTTAGGGAAGGGGTCCACAAACTTTTAAAACAGAGGGCCAGGTCACAGTCCCTCAAACTGTTGGAGGGCCAGATTATAATTTGAAAAACAAACAAACCATGAATTCCTATGCACGCTGCACATATCTTATTTGTAGTGTAAAAAACACTTCAAAACAATACAATAATTAAAATGAGTAACAATGTTAACAAATATAAACTTATTAGTATTTCAATGGGAGATGTGGGCCTGCTTTTGGCTGATGAGATAGGATTGTTGTTGTTATGTACTTTCAAGTCATTTCAGACTTAGGTTGACCCTGAGCAAGGGCCGGGTAAATGACCTTGGAGGGCCGCATCCAGCCCCTGGGCCTTAGTTTGAAGACCCCTGGTTTAGGG